AAGAGTGAGAGAGTTAAAGAATTAGAAAAACTAAGAAAAAGAAAAAGGAATCCAAATACAAGTCAACTACTACTATATACTAGTCCTAGTTTGCTTGCGATTATTAGCGACCGCCTCTAATCTCTATATATAGGAGGATATCTTAAATTAACCTTCAAAACTAAAATAGCTTTAATATTTCCTCTCTCTGACCCTCAAGAAAACAAAGCGAAAATTCCTCTCTCCAACCTCTCTTTGATTTCCTTCCCTCTTTGTATATATATACCCCATCTCTCTCCTCATGCCAATGTCCAATCATAATCGCCTGCTCGGGATTTTTGAGGCTAATTTGCAGAGGTCTCTGAAAAATAATAATATTCATATTTCCAGGGAATATGACAACAGCTTGGTGATGCACATTGACGACGACAACGTTGTAAATATAATAAACGATTTGTGGAATGATAATTGGTCCGTACACTGGGAGCTATTGGAGGATGGCGATGATCAGCTGCCGCCCTTGATCGAACCGTTAACATTATTCCACGAAAGGTTGCCGGAAGTTACAGCGGCAGCGCTAAGATCGACGCCGGCTGCAGAACCCTCGGTTGAGGCGTTGAAGAGAACGACATATGAAGGAAGTAATGATGATAATACTACAACTACTTGTTGTGACGATGATCAATCAGGATTTATGTGTGTGATTTGCATGGAAGAGGTTGCGATTGGGTCCCACGTCACCCGCATGCCTTGCTTTCATCTTTTTCATGGTGATTGCATTCTCAATTGGCTATATAGGACTCATACATGTCCCCTATGTCGCTTTGAGTTGCCTACTAGCAGCGACTATGATATTTAACATTCTTTTTTGCCCAAAAATACACACACACACACTAGGGTGTATATTGTTTATGGCTTTCGATTTCATTTGATTTCTTAATCAAAGAAAGAACAAAATCAAAAACAAGAAAGAGTTGCCTAAATATCGTTTTATCTTTTTAAGGCACGCGCCATCTATACTTGATTACAATGACACGACTTTTTTTATTTTTTTATGCGGAGAGTCTTGAATTTTTCTTTCTTTTTTTTTTTCAAAATGCATATTTTTTAACTATATATTTTTCTCGTTTTTAATTTTGTCCTACTTTCTCACTTCAAGTGAACTACGCGAACAATTAAATTTAATTCACTTTTTGAAGTTCTAGCTCACAAAATTCTGAATTTATATATGATTTATTTTTTGATCTCTTTGGCATTCTAAGTTTAAAATATTGAGTATATGTTAAAAGTCCAAATTTGGAGATCTTGATTTCCCCACACAAAGGAGCCAAACAAGTCGATCCCCGACCTTGTGTTTAAGACCGGCTGAAGGCTAGGCCACTAATTAAGGCAATTGCATTAAGGCCTTTGCTTGTGCCAAGGTTTTTAAAATTCTTGTGCTTCTTGTTAAGATGGATAACTCGGTAAACCCTCAATTATTTCTATAAAAAAAAAAAAAAAAAAAAAAAAAAAAAAAAGAAAAAAAAAAGTGAGCTACAGAATCAAGAGTCGTATGCGACTATTCTGCCTCATTCAAATGAAATACCTTACATGCCAGTTTATCTGCAACTCGATTGTTTTATCTATAATGAGAAACTCTGAAATTCATAATACTCAACTGAGAGATAGTTGTAGTCCATCTAGACATCTAGACTGCGAACAGTCAGAAGCTATACAACATATATAAGAAGAATCACATTCCAACCAAAGATCCAGCCAGCCATATTTGTGAGTATAATCAATAGCATGACAACCCCAATTCTGCCTCAAAAAAAGTTTGTATCTTGGAAGTAAACAGATAAAAACATAAAAAGATTCACAAATCCAATCATCTTTTTAATACAAATGTTTGTGTCATAGAAGTATATTGTGGAGGTCAATTTCCAATAGTAGAATTTGTAGTAGGGTTAATGACCAATTTGCTGGGTGGTAGATGTTTGATCCGTTTGCTTAGGATGATCTAGCGTATAAATGATAAAGTAAAGTGTAGAATATAAAGAGACAATAACAAAATTTATAGTAGTTCCACTGATAACCCATGGTACATTCATTGTAGTGTTGTTTGCACTATGTATGTAGAGAATAGTACAAAGAAGCTTGATAAAGCTTGAGAGAGACAATAATGGAGGGGAGAGAGAGAGGGCGGCTCTAGGGCGAATTGCAGAGGTAGTGCACGATTTTGTGTCTCTTGGAATGCTCTAGACGTTGAGGGAAGTCCTCCTTTTAAAGCTGTAAACTCTTGTTTCCCAATTAAGGCTAGTTTCTCTTTCTTGAATAGAGTTGACTTTCTGATTGTGTGTTTGATATTGTTTCCTCATTCACTTCGTATCTTCTGAGATTTAGACCACTTTTGGTGCGATTTGGTAACTTCCCAAAATCCCAAAACAGAATGTTCCTTAGAAAATTTTTAAAATATTCTTTAGAGCAGTTGACTCATCAATTCTGTCGAGCAGTCGCAGTTGACTCCAGATGTTATTGTCGATTCAGGCTGATCTTCAAACTGGATCATCTTCTAAATGTCTTTGGCTGCTGAATCCTTCTGAGAGGTCCTCTTGGATGATGGTTTTCAAGTCTAGTCGACTCGAGTTAACATGTATACAATTAAGATTAAGTGACGAAATCTGACCCCAACATATATTAATCGCATGGCATCTGGACACAAAACCATGTTTTGAGAGGTGGCAAAACAAGGTTTATACAGTAAAGCTTTACTATCTATAGCGGCAAACAATGGAATCTGAATACTTAATTCAGAAGATGACAATGTCCATTGAGTAACAAAATAGCATTGATAATATTCCAGGGCTAAGTGTGTGTATACATGAAAAAAATGGAGAAATTTTATTCAATAATTATGTAGATAACCGTAAATGAACCACATACATGTTATTTACTATCCTATTTTACTTAAGATTAATTCGTAAAAGGAAACAAATTTTCTATACTTTTCGATTTATACTTATTTTTCAAAAAAAAAAAAAAAAAAAAAAAAAAAAAAAAAAAAAAAACTAATGTAGAAGAGTAGTTTTAGCGTTTTTCTCTTCCTATCCAATATTTTTTTTCTTTTTTTCGAAAGTATTAAAAGGAAAAAAAAAAAAGCAAAATCTTAAACTAATGTAGTGTAATTATTTCAAGTATTAATGACAATTAATCTTAAATAATTTAGGCATCGTTCAGTTCGTTGATTCGAGATTCAATTTGAGCTGAGTTTTGATTTTATGTTAGAGTTTTTTACTGTAGAGGTAAAGTTAGATATGACTTTTTATGAGAACTTTTAACTGTAATAAAATTAAAATTAAAAACTCAAATCGATAAAATGAACATGCCTTAGTCATTTATTTGTTTTTAACGAGGAGAAAACAGAGAGTATGCACATTAGCGGTTTCTCCGGTAAAAATAATTTGCGGACACATGTATAACCAGTAAGGAGTTCTTATCATTTTTGCTAAGGAGTTCTGATCAGTCTTCTTTTTTTTTTTTTTTTGGAAAAAGAATCATTACACGTAGCAGATTTTAACAAGACACTAATTCTAAAAAAAAAATAATAATAATTTTGAAACAATCCGCTCAATCTTATACTATACAATTAGAACCCCAAGAGAAGTCAAATTATAGGTCTTTCTGACTGCTCTATGTATTCATGTCTAAATGACAACCTGCAGCTTACACTCTCCTTTGCCCAAGCCAAAAAATAATTCTACTTTTGCATCAATGTCCGGTGAAAGGTTTTTTTTTTTTTTTTTTCGACATGCATCCAATTGAAAGTTAACATATTTATCGTGGCAAAGGAGTCGATTAACCCCAGATATGATTCAAAGAATTCAAGCTCTAGGTTTACTTTTCGTCCACGTAATTCAAATAATCCACTCAGACTCTAACGCCGAGGGAGGACGTCAAATTAATACATGATTCTTTCAAAGAAATCTCTCACCAGTTGGACAGATTACGAGCATCCGACGCCAAGCGGAGGACGGTCGTGGCGGACATGCTATCCGGCTTAGAAATTCCGTTCTCTATTGACGTTGGAGAGAACGATGTGGATAATTTGCTTTGGAACTTGCTTAGCCCGTACGACTCTTCAGTGCATATAGATGGACGAGAAGCCTTGCATGGTGGCCTCAACGACGTCGTAGCAAGGATATCGCAGGTCGCCGCTCGTGATCTGGCTGTGATGAAGATATGGATTGAAAGGCGCTCAACTGTTCCACATGAAGAGTTTCAAAGGTTGGCTTAACGTTCAAGAGTGCTTGCTCCCACTTGTTAATGATAATCATGATGGTGATGATGATGATGAAGATCCATTCATGAGCTGGCTTTTTCCAGAATTTTTTGGAGTCCAGATCTATGCCGGGGGCGGCAGATGAGTCGGTGGTGAAGGCGTTGGAGAGGTTGACATACGAGGGAGTTAGTGATCATGATAATTACGATGATCATCATAATCATGATGATCACCATCATAATCATGATGATGAGTCAAACGTAATGACGTGTTTGATTTGCACGAAAGAAGTGATGAGTGGGTCCCAACTCATACGCATGCTATGCTCTCATCAGTTTCATGAGGATTGTATTCTGCCGTGGCTAAACAAGGCCAATTAATAAACATCTCTATTAATTCCAGATTAGCTTTGTTATTATTTGTGTTTTGGATTTCATGATGTTTTTCTTTTCATTAAGCTAGGGAAAACATTCAGATGAACCTTTTTTTTCCCCCCTCTTTTTGAGAGAATCAGATGAACTTTCTATGTAACCCATTCATTTATTTATATCTGTCGTATGAATAACTATTTTTATCAGATTATAGTTCTCTTTTATAATTTAAACCAAATTATTTTGTTAAAATAATTATTTGGTTGTTTTCTTCCTTTTCTTATGAATAACTTTTCTTTTTCAGCAGTGATTAGAGGTTATTAAAAAAATAAAAAATAAAAAGATAACTATCATCCATTTGTATGCATGTATGCACATATATATACATACACCCAACAAGAATCTGTAAATAGATAAAAACATAAAAGAGATTCACAAGTTCAATAATCTTTTCTATAAAATTTTTGTAAACTTGGAATCAGAATAATTCAGAACTTGACAATGTTCATTGAGTAACAAGCTAGCATTCATATTCAGGGACAAATGCGTGTGTATGCTCATTAAGATGACAAAGATCACTCTCCATCTCTTGTAAACAGGCGTGAGCAAAGAAGGAAAATAATCTTGGCTCTGCATAAAAATTTGGGCTCTTCCCCTATGTTTTAAGCAGGGAATCTCTTTTTCTTTTTCCATCAGATATGAAGAATGGAGTTTAACATTCTTGAAAATAAATATAATAAGGAAACGAATCTATCCAAAGCAATATAGACATTTGATGAAGGCAGCTCTGTACTTGCCTCCAAATGCTTTCATCCTCAGGTGTCCCGAGCGCGGGCAGTTCCACTCTGTAGTTAATTTTTCTTTTTAGCCCAAACCATGACAAGCGAGAATCCCATCAATGACATGATCACAGTCTGCATATCAAAGAATGAGAATGTTTACAATTCCACATAATAAGCCTGAATCCAAAAGGGCTTAAGAAATTATAAGTTTAAGTGGTAGACTTCTATGGAAGTTGAATTAAAGTATATTATAAGACTAAATATGTCATGACTGTAAATATAGTGCACTAAACAATCAAAGAACTGAAAATCATCTCCGCTTATGGACGAAAGCGAGACAAGTAAGAATAACCTGCTTGTTTCCTACTACAGTTGCCTCCACAAATAGCTAAAAAAACCATGGTTAAGCAATAAAAGACTACCAAATCTATGTGCTAGGAAAATTATGTCACAAAAAAAAAAGCAAGAAACATATACTTGTTGCAATGAGATAACAAGGTTTAAACAGGACAAAACAGAGGAGCAAGATATTGACTTACGGAAATCGCTGGAGGCACACCAACAAGTGGATCTTGGAAGAATCTATTTGCAAGTGCAAGAGCCAGAAGACTGCTTTGCATTCCTGGAATGATCATTAAAAAAAAAAAAAAAAAAAAAAAAAAAAAGCAATCAGATGGTTTGAGAAATTCTGCTGCTGGTATATTGATCACAGAAGACGTAATAGAGAAACCTGTTTCATAGGATAGCGTTCTTTGCAATGCTTTCACATCAGGTGCCTTCTGAAAGACCACTCCAGTGAGGATGTAACCGGCTACAAAAGCCGCTAAATGAAATGCAACTATGAGCAACAAAATGGTTACTCCAAAAGGTGATAAAACAGACTTAATGTTGATAGCAAGTGGCGCTCCAACACAGAGAGCAGTAACCAATACTGATAGTGGAGGCAAAAAGGGACGAATAGCATCACATAGTCGAGGAAAGAATCTGAGAATGCAATTTCATAACATAAGCAAGGACCCCTTGAAATAATGTTAGTGTAAATAAAATTATTTGGTCCAAAGTGTGTCACCGATTCAGAAGCAAGCCTGAAGCAATTGGCGCAATTACAATCTGCAGAATGCTAGACACCATTCCTTTAACATCAACAGGCAGTCTCTTTCCAATGAGCAAGAGCGATAACAACGGTGTGACAACCACTGCTGTAGCCGTAGAAAGTGATGTCATGACGATGCTTAGTGGGGCCATTGGCGGGTCAGTCAGAAAAGTAGCATAATTGGAGAGCTGCGCACCACTAACACAAGATACCAACATAATCCCAGCACCTGAAAAAGAACTACAAAATAGTCCGTTCAAGCACAAAAACTGTTTTCATGGCTGAGCAATCCGAATCTCACCTATAGGAGTTGGAAGACCAAATACGGCAACAGAGATGATGCCAAATAAGTATCCGAGAAGCGGCTTGACCACAAATTGACCAACATAACCAGCAAGTATGGCTGCTGGTCTCTTAAAGGCTTCAAGAAAATCCTTTTCACTGGAATTAACCCCAACTGCAAACATTAAAAAGCCTAGTGCAGGTGCATAATACCTGAAATCAAATCACAAATCTAACACTAAGTACATATTTTGGGCAGAACATAACTTCCTTTATTACTCCCATTTACTCTCAGTGTGGCTTCTGAATCCTTTAAAAATTGCAAACATATTGTTTACTAACCAAAAAATCCAACTAAAGAAGGTTCAAAAACCTGGTGGTAAACCATGTAAAGGAAGGTGGATAAACTAAAGCCAATAGGATACTAGCAAGAACAACATGAGGTAGAAAGGAGTTTGCTTTCTTCAAAATCTCCAAAGCTGAAACCTCCTTTTGCTCAAGGGTCTGAAACAAATATAAAATAAAAAAATAAAAATAAAAAGAAGTTAAAATCACGGCTCAAAAATCACTTTACAAAGAAAGTTCCAAAAATTTAGCACCACCCAGCACAGATCACATAAAAGACGAACTTAGAATAGTGCATTAGGTAGTTTAAGACTTTGGAGACAATTATCAAACAGAAGTCAAATATAAAGTAGAGTAGTCACGACTTCTTGTTTTTCTACAATGTGTTCACATGTCTATGCCTGTTGTAATATTTTATTCTTGTCACAATCGAAGAATCCTACATTAAAAAGAGGGGAGGGGACAGAAAAAAAAATCCCCCTTTGAGAAAAGGGGTGTTATCCCCACTGGAGCACTACAAACTCCTAGGGATTATTTTAGCAACATCCAATAAGCTTAATTAAATATAAAAGCCATTATCAAACAATTTTGGTTGACATTTGATGAAAAAAATTAAGAGGGTAACTTACCAGCATCCAATGAACTCACTTTAACTATCAAAAACCAGATTATAAATTACTATAGAAACAATAAATAATAGAAAATTACAATAATAGTGATACTACTAGGAATAACCACAACCTCTGCATCTTTGGAAGCAAAATCTTGATCTTGTTCCGATTCAAAAGAACCGGGCAACTGCTCCGAAAAACGTCTGCGCACTTCAAATCAATAAACAACCAATAAAGAACAGTAATTAACACCCAAAAAAAAAAAGATTTTGAAAACGAAATTCGAAGAAACTAACAGGGATTAATGGGCTGAAAACGAATTGATAGCCCGAGAGATTGCGAGCGCGAGGCGGAGATCGGGAGGTCAAGCTTCGGCGGAGCTTCGGCCAGACGCCGACAGGAGAAGCGTGAGAGATTTCGATGGAGATGGACCTGCGATAACCGCCATGGATGTTTGGTCGTCTTCAAATGCATTTCTCTTTGATTAATTCAGCAGCAGACGAAAGTGGAGATCGTTTTTTTTTTTTTTTTTTTTATGGTAATAAGGAAGAAGCCAAAGTGAGGTTTTTCAGTTAGGAGTTCTGAGTTGACCGAGGTTTGTCCAACAACTCCACAGTCGCAGGTAGAATTGAACTTTTTGCATTAATAGACCCTCATTAACCTCTTCTTAAAAAAATAATAATTAATTAAACAATTTTTTCCTATTCATTTATTATGAAATGACTAAAAAACCCAAGTCAAAATCCCTAAAACACTCGAAAAACAACATGCATTTAATAAGATTTCTATTCACTATTTTCAACATGCATTTATAAGATTTCTTTTCAAATGTTAGATTATAATAAATGTATATGAAAATTCACTTTTTTTGAAATAGTTGTACTCGTATTCAATTTTTTAAAAATTAAAGATAAAAGCATGATTAAAGAAAATTGTTTCGTAGGATATATATAAGATATGGTCATTTACAATTACAAAAAATGAAAAGATGTCAAGATATCATGAAAAAACTGACATTACAACTACTCTGCTGCAGTAAATCCACATTTAAAACGTGGATTTGTTTTGAGACATTTTCAAAGTTATAGATCAAAAATGAGATTTGATTACATTTTGGGATTAAAAATAAAAATATTTTTTTATTAATAATAAACAAAAAATTATCACATCAATTAATATTAAAAATTTAAAGAGAGATTACTTTAGCATGAATTTGATCATATGAAAAAGTTGGGATAAAAATGAGGATCTACACTATATCCTATCAAATAATGAACACCATCAATATAACAAGATCACTCTTTTGCCGTTTCAAAAAGATTTCTAATCATCTATCTGAGATTCTGAACGAATTCAAAACCAAATATTGATTAACATAGTAGAAAGTTCAACTTTCCCTTTAAAAAGAAGCAAAATAATACCTTTCTAAACCTTAAAGAACTCGTACATATGCAAACATTAATGGCTCGATTCCATTCCAATATCGAGAAATTCTCTAGCATCTTTGTTAAAGCAGAGAATAGTAGTACTTTCTCATATGACTACGGAACCCTACCGTACCCTCTATTCTGCTTCAGTTTTTGCGTCATTCAAAAGCTAAAATGCACAGAGCCGAGTAGTGCTAGATCGAATGCAGTTTACAACAAACCGCTTGTATTCGAGCGCCCAATTAGTCGATTCAAACTAGCATCATCACCAGAATCGCTTTCCACTATTGCAGGAATGTTGGCCAACACACCAATCCCTTTCCTTTTGGAGAATCCGATGTTATGGATGGAGTGTAATGAATTAGATTCGATACCATTGCACAGTCATGAAGACGTCGTAAAGAAGATTTCAAAGTTTGCCAGTAGAATCATACGTGGTCACGCGTCGGCAAACTCAACACAAGCTTACTATAAGCTCCACATCACCATTGTGATTGAGAAGACGGTGGCTATACCAACTCTTTCAGAACATGATTCCTTTTTAAGCTTACATGATTCGCTTCTATCACGTCTTAATAGGTATAAGTTCAGTTTGATGAGATTGCGGATATTAGCCGGAGAATCGATGGAGGGCATGTTTGATGAAGCAGTGGCGGCAGTGTTGCAGTCGGCAATGGAGGCGTTGAAGAAGTTTAGATACAGCGGAAGCATTGATGATCATGATGATCAACAATCAAAGTTGATATGTGGGGTTTGTATGGAAGGGGTGATGATTGGATCCCATGTCACTCTCATGCCTTGCTCTCACATGTTTCATGAATATTGCATTCTAGAGTGGTTAGAAAGGAGTCCAACGTGCCCTATTTGTCGCTTCAAGTTGTTAATTAATAATAGTTAATAGCCTTTTTCAATATACAATTATTTGAGGACTTGTCTAATGTTTATAGGAATTATAAGCTAGGCTAGAGATATATTTGTGTTTTCCTTTTCTCTGTGTCTTTTTATATATTGAAATTTTTTTGAAAGGTACATGTATGGACATTAGTGTTCTGATTTTGGATTTCTCATAGTTTTTTTTTTTATGATTATTTTCCTTTTAGTAAGTATGGGATCAAGTTATCATCGTCCTTGAGTTATTGTCATTTTTAATTTCTTTGTCGTCTAGATTTTTTTTTTTTGGGAAAATTTTCATTTTATTAAAACAAAATTACGTACTCAAACTAGTCACAAGTGAGTACCACCTACAATGGAATTCGACGCCGAGTACAGAGTGTTGAGTCTCAACGGAGAAAGACCCACTCGACACATGAAGATTGAGCACGACCAAGACTCATTAGACAGAACTATTGCAGTCGATGGATCAACCCAGTCGACCGATACCAAACCACAAATAATGGGGACACAAACGGCACGACATAGAAACAAATTTAGTCGGATACTATCACCCATGCTATCAATAAATATGTGGGACGTATTGACAAAGTCGGAAGGCAGGGAAACCACCTCTATTATTATAGAACTAACACAATAACAAAACAACAAAAACTAACTCCAACAAGGCACAAGTATCAACGCCTTTATTACAAAACAATAAAAACAATGAAAAAAAAAAAGTCATAGCCAACAAGGAGAACTCAACGATAACAAGCTGACCATCACGCCACGGAGTAGACAATCAAATCTGAGAAGAGCTGCCATAAAAAGAGCATAATTGTCAACCACAAAACTACATATAAGGATCCCTAAAGGAAGTGTTATACCATCTGGATCGAAACCCCCATGCCATAGGCCCACCAGAAACATCTCGCATTTCGCATTGACGAAAGTCCCAAAGCTTCTATCTATGGCAGCGAACACTCCACTCATCATGCCTCCCAGATCCATACACCACAACCGCCGCCATACTGCACTCATCGTCCGAAAGAACCACCCACGAGACCCAGACTATCATCGTGAGAGCCGGGAGTCTGACAACCAGCTAGGGGTAGCATCAAAACTCTAGCCTTAAGAAGAAAATTAAAGAGAGAAACTATAGGCCCTCTACGAAGGAGAGAGAGTGGAAGAGAAGAGACTCTAAGATTAGATCTTTTTTTTGTTGATTGGGATTGTCGTCTAGATTTGTTGTTTTTTGTTACGATTTTAGCAAAATAAAAAGATGCCTTTATCCTACATTGGTTAGGAAGCGGAGAGGAGGGGTTCTGAAACCTGTATAAAGAGCCTAGCTCTTGTTAAGCACTTCAAGCAGCAGGTTCCTAAGGGCTCATTGAAGATTGAGTTTTCCCAATAGTCTTAGGCTCATTCAAAAGCTAAAATGCGCAGAGCCGAGAAGTACTAGATCAAATGCGTTTACAACAAACCACTTGAATTCGAGCGCCCAATTAGTCGATTGAAACTAGCATCATCACCAGAATCGCTTTCCACTATTGCAGGAATGTTGACCAACACACCAATCCCTATTCCTTTTGGAGAATCCGATGTTATGGATGGAGTGTATTGAATTAGATTCGATACCATTGCACAGTCATGAAGACGAAGATTTCAAAGTTTGCCAGTAGAGTCATACATGGTCACGCGTCGGCAAACTCAACACAAGCTTACAATAAGCTCCACATGACCATTGTGATTGAGAAGACGGTGGTTATACCAACTCCTTCAGAACATGATTCCTTTTTAAGCATACATGATTCGCTTATCACGTCTTAATAAGTATAAATTCAGTTTAATGAAATTGCGGATATTAGCCGGAGAATTGATGGAGGGCATGTTTGATGAAGCAGTGGCAGCAATATTGCAGTCGGCAATGGAGGCGTTGAAGAAGTTTAGATACAGCGGAAGCATTGATGATCATGATGATCAACAATCAAAGTTGATATGTGCGGTTTGTATGGAAGGGGTGATGATTGGATCCCATGTCACTCTCATGCCTTGCTCTCACATGTTTCATGAATATTGCATTCTAGACTGGTTAGAAAGGAGTCAAACATACCCTATTTGTCGCTTCAAGTTGTTAATTGACAATAGTTCATAGCCTTTTTCAATATACAATTATTTGAGGACTTGTCTAATGTTTATAGGAATTATAAGCTAGGCTAGAGATATATTTGTGTTTTCCTTTTCTCTGTGTCTTTTTATATATTGAAATTTTTTTGAAAGGTATATGTATGGACATTAGTGTTCTGTTTTTGGATTTATCATATTTTTTTTTATGATTATTTTCCTTTTAGTAAGTATGGGATCAAGTTATCATCGTCCTTGAGTTATTGTCATTTTTAATTTCTTTGTCGTCTAGATTTGTTTTTTTTTGAAAATTTTCATTTTATTAAAACAAAATTACGTACTCAAACTAGTCGCAAGTGAGTACCACCTACAATGGAATTTGACCCCGAATACAGAGTGTCAAGTCCTAATAGAGAAATACCCGCTCGACACATAAAGATTGAGCACGATCAAGACTCATTAGACAGAACTATTACAGTCGATGAATTAACCCTGTCGACCGATACCAAATCACAAATAATGGGGACACAAAAGAAACGGCATAGAAACAAATTTAGTCGGATACTATTGCCCATGCTATCAATAAATATTTGGGACACATTGATAAAGTCAGAAGGCAGGGAAACCACCTCCGTTATTATAGAACTAACACAATAACAAAACAATATAAAGCAACTCCAATAAGGCTCAAGTATCAACGTCTTTATTACAAAACAATAAAAACAACGAAAAAAATAGTCATAGCCAACAAGTGGAACTCAACGATAACAAGCCGACCATCGCACCATGGAGTAGATAATCAAATCTGAGAAGAGCCGCCATAAAAAGAGCATAACTGCCAACCACACAACCACATATGGGGATCCCTAAAGGAAGTGTTATACCATCTAGATCGAGACGCCCATGCCACAGGCCCACCAGAAACATCTCGCATTTTGCATTGACAAAAGCCCCGAAGCTTCTATCTATGGCAGCGAACACTCCACTCATCACACCTCCCAGATCCATCCACCACAACCGCTACCATACCATACTCATCATCTGAAAGAACCACCCACGAGACCCAGGCTACCATCGCGAGGGCCAGGAGTCCGACAACCAGCCAGGGGTAGCATCAAGACTCTAGCCTTAAGAAGAAAATTAAAGAGAGAAACTATAGGCCCTCTACGAAGGAGAGAGAGGGGAAGAGATGAGACTCTAAGATTCGATCATTTTTTTTTTTTTTTTTTTGGGTTTGTCGTCTAGATTTGTATTTGTTGTTTTTTGTTACGATTTTAGCAAAATAAAAAGATGCCTTTATCCTACATTGGTTAGGAAGCGGAGAGGAGGGGTTCTGAAGCCTGTATAAAGACCCTAGCCCTTGTTAAGCACTTCAAGCAGCAGGTTTCTAAGGCTCATTGAAGATTGAGTTTTCCCAATAGTCTTAGACTCATCTGTAGGATAATGTACGTTTTACCTTTTTATCGCTAAAAGGCAGTGCTTTCTTTTTTTTTATATATGTATTTGCATTTTATTCTATAAGAATTATTATTTCATAAATTATGTCCTTTAGTGTACTTGTAATGTGTGTTGTCATTCTTTAAGCTGTTGTTGTTGCCCAAATTAAGTTATTATTTATTTGTAAGATCTACCCATAATCCATTTAATTTTGTATAATATTAAAAATAAATGTACAGCAGGCCACAATTCTCAACATATATAGAATTTCTATAAATAAATGTACAGCAGGTACAATTCTCTACATATATAGAATTTCTTTGTCGCTTATAAATATAAGGTTGGTTGAGGTACAATCAATATTGCAGCCATTGAATAATTCAGTTTTCATATACATTTGTGTTGGTAATATTATATGCATTATCCATCTACATTGTTTATCAATATTTTAACCGTTTATATGATCTACACCTGATTAGTATTTCTAAAATCATTTCTTTTAAGTGGATTTGTATCCTTCACGTCTCCATTGTTATCTGAATTTTAAAACTCATCTTCTCTGGCGCACTGAGGATGTATTTATGAAAAGGCCTAGGACACTCAAATCAGATAACAACGATAATTTTTTATTAATTTAATAAATTACTAAGAACATTTGCTAAAAGTACGCTCTAAGAGAGGTCATTTTTGCAGAAATCCTATTCATTATTTTCTCAAAATAATTCTTTTAAACTTCTATCATCTAAAGACTCGATCGTTGAGTAGTTATGGGCATTTCCCATGTAATTCTACCTTAATTAAGGTGTAAAGTTCTAATTAACAAAAAGTAACCAATAATAAAGGCACGATAGTTACTTTTGAAGTTTTAGCAACTTGAAATGAGTTTACTTTTAAGATTTTTTTTTAATTGCTTTTACATGAGCATTATAGCCTGCATAGACGTAGAATCCATACAGTGAGCCACACAAGGCACGAATTCAACATACCAATCCCTTTTTTGGAACTGGAACGTAGTAATTCCTACGCCGTCGCGAGAATGTTGTCAAACACGCCACTCCCTTTCCCTTTGGAGAACCTCGTATGGTCACTTGATGATGAGGTCCCCAACTCAATATCAAACCCTTGCCCGCTGCTCCGCCATGGAGACGTGGTGAAGAAGATTTCGGACTTTGCCCTTCGGATTATTCACGAGTCGCGAGGTTTTGATAATAATTACCAGCTTCGCATGACCGTCACGATCGAGAAGGTCGTGGTTGTCTCGGATTCAGATTATCGTCCTCTTCGTCGCCGTCGCTTGAACTCAGATGATAATTTGCGAATTAGATCACAGCCGGAGAATATTTACGTTGACTGGTTTCGGTTATTATTGGCTGAGGCTGTGGCGGCTGGAGTGTTTCAAACCCAAGGCGATCTGGTAGTGGTGATGCTTCGATCGATTGAGGATGCGGGGGTCGCGGTGTTTAG